GCTCTCTGCTCTTTTAAGTTCTAGCACTCAACTGCACATATATTAAATTTTTCAAAAAACAAAAGAAAATTCTACAAAATTTACTCATTTTGTATATTTTCTGTTTTGCAATGCAAATATAATATTGAGATATCTTGTTAAAAATTGTAAAAAAAATTTACTGTTAAAAGCATAGAATGTTTTTTTAGTATACTGCAATCAGATTTCGAAACAATATTTTCATTACCTTTTAATTCCTATTTTGGATTAACACAAATTTATTTTTTTGAGAACTTATTTATTAGCAGTTTGTCGCGTTCGGTTTGACAAGATTTTAACTGTATTTTTTTTATATTATAAGAATGGAAATTAATTTTTTTTTTTTTTTTTTTTATTGTCTTAATAAAAATATTTATGTAATTGTTTTTTGTTTTTGTTTTTTGTTTTTTTTGTTTTTTTGTGTTTTGTTTTTTTGTTTGTATTTATGTTTTTTTATACATAAACCAAAAAAAAAAGTACGCAAAGAAATTAAATTTTTTTTTTTTTTAAATAAGTAATTTTTAATTGAAGATAAAAAAAAACTAAAAGATTTTTTTAAAACTCTCTTAATATAAAAAATATTAGTTTGAACCTTGTCAAACCACTTCAACATTATATTAAAAAATAGAAAAAACTTAAAGTTAAGAGTTTTGAAAAAAAAAAAAAAAATTAAGTTGCAAAATTATTGGAATACAAAACTTCCCATTTAACCATACCAACTTGGTCCCGGCTGGGACCCAACTGGGGAAAATGATGGGACTCATATGGGTTTCCCACTTGGGTCCCATTGCGATTCTGTCATTGGGATCCAATTGGGTCCCATCTGGGATTAGTCTGGGTTTTTGACGGGAAATCCCATATTGAACCCAGATATTTTTTCATTTACCGCGAGTTTTCTCATTTTTTTATAGTTTGTTTTTCGCAGATTTTTTTATCTCAAATCTACGAAATAATGTGACAATTTTTTGATTAAAAAGCGTCGCATTTTTTATATAAAATTAAAAAGTAAAGGTTTATCTAAATTAAATATGTTGTCAGGGCAATTAAATGTATAAGGCAAATGAATATTTGGTCTGAGATGAATCAATTGAAAAAACATTTTTGAATTTCATAATATTTTAAGCTATAAAAAACTAATATTATACAATGATTTGATGCAAAACTGTTCTACGATAGTAATATACTGTCCCATTAGTTCTCTCATATCGCCACCATAATAACTGCCACATTAGTTCTCTTATATCGTCACCATAAAGTTTATCGTTATTCTTCTTTAGTGCTTTCATCCACTTCTACACTAATTTTATAAATTAAAAATAAACATTTAAATAATATAATAATTTATAGCATATATATTTATAAAGCATAAATAAAAATATTTATTGATAATATTATTTAGGGCATACCATGCAGTGTGCCATACCATGCCATATTTTGCATATAACTAACAAACACTAGGCAAACAAAAACACACGTACAAATCTCAAGCAAACTCAATACAGTATATAAATTGATATACGTGTTATAACAATAGCCAGATTAAATTTATAGACTTCTTCAGTTTCCATCATCTAGTTTTAAAGTTTCTTCAGTTTTTCTTTTTAATAGGCATCTTGCAGGGAATCTAAAACAATGTTATTTTACGGTAAATGTTTGATGTTATTAATTAGGTATGACATAATTAAACTTGTAAACAACAATAATATAACATGAATATATGTTATATTTAATGTTAATATTTAATAAAAAATATGTTAATATTTAAAATTTAAAGTCTTGACTCAAGTTAACCTGACATCAAACTTTTAAATCAGTTGGTGAGGGTTTAATATCTTTTATATATTTAAATAAATGCAAAAATAATCAATATTACTAACACTTAGATGTATCTTTTTTATATATATAAAAAAAACATCTTCGCTTTCAACAAGGCTACAAACAACCACTTCAAAGTGCATTCGAACATTTAATCAACATTTAGTTAAAGTTCGTTCTAAATGTTTAGATTTAATTTAGTTTCGATTTAGAACGTAGGTTAATCGAATGTTCCATTTAAACCATATCTAAATGGTTTGTTTTAAATGCTATTTAAACTCCATCTAAATCTTTCGTTTTAAACTTCGCGACGTTTAACTTTATTTTACGGCGCTTATTTAAAGAAGCATAAATAAATAAAAAATACTGATAAAGGAATCAAACTTTTCTTTTGTAAACTCAAGTTTATCAATGATTTCAGTTCTTTTCTCGTTAAAATTGGAAGTAAAAACGTTTTAACCAAATTTACTTTCACCAGTGTAAGATTAAATGTAAGTCGGAGCATAAATTCAAACGCTTCATAACAAAGCAGCATTCAAAGAGTTTCTCTTTAATACAGCAAATAAATGCATAAACCGATGTTAAGCAAACGTGTTCTACAAATAAGTTCATGAATTTTGTTCAAAAAAACAATCTTATTGTTACAAACAATCATTGCTGCAACGTG